AGGGTGTAGTTTTGAGTGTTTAGGGTGTTTTAGGTGTCAAAACATTTTTTTTAGGTTTTAGAATTTTAAGATATAGATTTTATAAATCTATAATTAGTGGCGTTTTTGTAAATGGACACTCCTAAGTGATATTTTTGCAAATGTGCACACAAAAAATGGTACTTTTGTAATTGCCCCTTATATCAATCTATACAAAACACATTTTATAGTTTTCAGCCAAATTTGTATTTATCTATTTTAATTTCAGCTGCACAACGACAAACATTGTTAATCATAAGTTTGATTTCTTTGGTGAATAACCAAAAAAAAATTATGATTAACAACAATCTAACCAAAAATGGCTTATGTGAAGTAATAATAACCACAAAATCAAGGGTGAATTGGTTAGTCAGCAAGTTAATTTTTTTGTTGGTTATTAGATTTGATTTCTCTTCTTAAATAGTTTCCAAAGTATTTCGACCAAAAAAGAGAAAAATAGTAGTCAAAAGTGTGGACACAGTCGCAAATGGATGGTACGTGGAAATAACTAAGCTAAGCAAGGGGTTTAGTTGAACCCTGACATACAAAATTTTTTCCATCAACCATTCCATTTCATTCCCTTTCCTCTCTCTCAAATATTAGTGGAGATGAATTTTTGGATCCACCGTTTTATTGGAATTGTTTGCTAAAGGAGTGTTGTTGGAGCTCATTTTTTTATGTTCAAACGCTAGAAAAGAATTTAACTCGATTTTTTCGTGTTTAAGATTCGATCATTTTATTCAGATTCTGATTCGAGTAAAATCATTTTTTTTGTTGTTTTGAAATAACAACATGATTAAAAGGTAAAGGTATTGGCCGAAGGGCCTAGAAAACGAAAGGAGAAAGAGAATAGCTACTACTTTTAAACATGCATGGTCTGAAACTGATGTCAAGGCAAAAGAGAGATTATCTTTAAATGGAGTTGGAGTTCTTTGGAAGGTGGATGCGGTTGATAAAAAGATAGATTTTTAGTCATTTTGAAATATATTCCAAAATGTTGGACCAAAAACAAAGTTCCAAATTTTGGACATTTATCAAATTAGCCCTAGTTGGATTGGGTTTAACAGTAAAAACCTTTATTCAAGTTAAAACCCTAATCCATTTCTCCTTTCTTCTTTCCTCAACCATATTCCATTTCATTCCCCTTCTATTTTTCAAAGATTAGTGTTTGATTAAAGAGTGTCATTGGTGTTAGACCAGTAGAAAAATAAAATAAAAACTTCATTTTCTGCTAGAATAGATTACATTTGAGATAATAACATGATTAAAAAGCCGGAAAAACGAAAGGAGAAAGAGGATTAGCTAGTTCTAGACATGGTCAAAAAGTGATATATATCAAGGCAAATAAGATGATGTTTAGAAAAAGAGATTATCTTTCTTTGGAAGAAGGTGGATGCGGTTGATAAAGAAAAGATTATCAGTCATTTTGCAGAATATTCCTAATTCTGGGACCAAAACAAAAGGTTCCAAATTTTAGATATTTATCAATTTAGCCCTGCTTGGTTTTGGGTTTAATGGTTTATTGTTGGATCCGAAATCAATCAATCAATCTCTCGATGGCGTCGTCTTCTTCTTCATCTCCGGCGCCGGAAGCAGCCGTGATGATGGAGGAGGAGCTGACTCTTACAGTGAAGTGGAGTGGCAAGGAGTATACTCTCCGCATCTGCGCCGATGACTCCGTCGCTGAGTTGAAGCGTCGCATCTGCTTTCTCACCAACGTCTTGCCCAAACGCCAGAAGCTTCTCTATCCCAAAGTCGGTAACAAGCTCTCCGATGACTCTCTTCTGCTCTCTCAGATCCCTCTCAAGCCCTCTCTCAAGATGACCATGATCGGGTCCCTTTCTTAACCCTAATTCTTGCTTGCATTCATTTTCCATTCTTTCCTTTGGTTTGGGAACGAAACGCATTCATTTTGTAGCAAACTGATGCTTCTGATTTGTGTATTTTCAGTACTACCGAAGATGATATAATCGTAGATCAAGCAACCTCTCAGGACATTGTTGATGACTTTGAACTTGGTAAAGACGAAGTGGTTGACATTGAAGACAAGGAAGTCAACAAGCACAAGTTGAGGAGAAGAATTGATCAGTACAAGGTGTGTGTTCATATTTCAATCCAGAATCCAATCATAACATGTGAACTTAGTACATCATCGATACACACTCTTTCTCGCTCGCTTAGTGTGGATTTGTGCTCTATTTATGTGATCCTTATAAGATGAGATCTATGTGTTTAGTTTCGCATTTGGGTAGATAGGTTCAAATCCTTTAGTTATTGGTTTTCTCAGAAGCTTCTTGTATGATTTGCAGATTAAACTTATTACGCCATGTCGCAAAGGCAAAAAACTTCTTGTTCTGGATATCGACTACACATTGTTTGATCATCGTTCCACAGCCGAGAACCCGCTACAGCTTATGCGTCCTTGTAAGCATCATATTATTCACTTTCACTGACCGGGTTACATCTCCTGACAAATGTTCTGATTTTTCTAAATGCAGATCTTCATGAGTTTCTTACTGCTGCATATGCAGAGTATGATATCATAATATGGTCTGCTACTAGGTGATATGATGCTCCTTTTGGATAATCTTCTTCTATCACTTTATATCGCATCTTCTTTCAATATCGACTATCTATTTCGGTTTCTGCAGCATGAAGTGGGTTGAGCTGAAGATGGGAGAGCTTGGCGTGCTGAACAATCCAAACTACAAGATCACAGCCCTTCTCGACCATCTAGCGATGATCACTGTTCAGTCAGACACCCGTGGGATCTTTGATTGCAAGCCACTAGGCTTAATTTGGGCACTATTGCCTGAGGTATTATCCTCCTATTATATTTGCTACCACCATTAATTCTGGTATTTTTCTTTATTATCTTCTCATGAATTGTTATATGCAGTTCTACAATGCCCAAAACACTATAATGTTTGATGATCTACGGAGGAATTTCGTGATGAACCCTCAAAACGGTCTAAAAATCAGGCCGTTCAGGAAAGCTCATGTAAACCGAGACAAGGACGAAGAGCTTGTAATGCTGACTCAGTACCTTCTGGCGATAGCAGAGCTTGACGATTTGAGCTCTTTGGATCATAGCAGATGGGAGACATTCACTGAAGATACCGTCAAAAGGCGCAGGCACACATGACTTAACCTTATTGCCATTGTTTAGATCTGTTGGTGGCTACTTGGTATCTTTTCATGTTTAGAATTACGATCAAAGTTTTATATGAAGCATCAGATGATTATTATACTTACTTGAAACAGTTGTATTAATAATTTTTGTTATATCCATCTTAAGAAAATGCTCTTATTCTCTTGCATGTAATAATAATGTATATATAGAGGATGTTCTTATTTTAGGATTCAATAATGTCTAAAAATAGAAGAATGGATAAACGAAAGGAAAACGAAGGCCTTAGAGTGACAAAAGAGACATATGCGCAAAACATGGCGATCCTCTTGTTCATTATTTGGAAGACGAAGATCCTTAGAGGATCAACATCAATCTCTCTGTTTCATTACGTAAGACAAAGACAACATTTTTGTGTTGAGAGGAACGATGGCCAAGATCAGAGCGGATGCTCCGGTGATGCCTCCGGAGACTCCTCGTAGCAATGAGGTGGGAGAGATTGACACGCGTCCTCCCTTCGAATCCGTTAGAGCCGCCGTTAGTTTATTCCGCCAAGTTTCCTTTTCAAAGCAACCACCACCACGTCTCTCCTCCTCCTCCTCTCAGGTA